ATTTAAATGGGAAATATGAGAGATGGGAGAGCCCTCACTGAACTGAACTGACATTGTCGTTGTTTTCTAATGATCGCTGCTGCTAAGCTTTTCATACAAGATAGTGTTGTGAAATAGTTTTGGTCCAAAAAGTTTGAAGAAGTTGCATGCTAATTTTTTAACATGTTGGTGTAGACGTTGCCAAGAACAATGATACTTTTTTAACATACAGTATTGGTCTTACAGCATTAAAAGGAAACATTTATTTGATAGCAAACAGTGCTGCTGACCGGTTATCATAACACGGAAATTAGATATTAAATTAATTCTACAGGAGTCCAATGATCATTGTTTTAAAGGGTGACGCTCACAGAAATAATCTGACTACAGAAAAGTTAGTCAGTGGCCAATAGTGAGTGTTGGCTAAGAGGATAGAGCTGAAGTTCTTAGTAATGATCATTGTTTGAAAGGAAGCACATTTGATTTCTCAAGGCTTAGGCTGAGTGTAAAAGGTCACTAACTATACAGTTAAAGTTGTCTGTTATATTTGATAGTAGTTTAATAGGACAGAGGACTTAAATAATGATTACGTTGTTTTTGTTAGGTTGTACAAGTTTTAAGTCAAGGACCAGAAATTGATAGGAGTCTTCTTATGAGATAAAAATGCGGTATAAAAAATCTCTAAATGGGAGCGATGTCGTGCGTAATATATGCATAACTTTATGTTCCATAAAAACACTTACTATACACATCAGTCTATTAGCAGAATAAATACAAAAGAAAAGTTTTAAAGAAATTTTTAAGTATGGGATGCTACAGTAAGATCACTTCTTTAAACCTTGGACCTATCAGGCTCAGTGACGGTATAATGTTGTGCTGTCAAATCTTAGTAAATGTTTCTTCAGTATTAGCAGAAGAAAACTAGAAGTCTGCCTCATTAAACATGTTTTGGTGCTTTAGCTCCACTGATGGATCCAAGAAAACACAGGAAGAGAAGTCAAAATTCTCTTCTAAAAACCACAAAGCTTCTGCTTTACGTAACTTCATCACAATTTCAAAATACTGCATAGTCTGGTTTGCGGAAGTGATTTTTAAGCCCAACTTCCTATAAATATGATAGAATATGATATGATATGTATACATCCTGTAATACATGTAAAGTAGATGTTCTCTGCTTCTTTGATGCTAATATTAGCTCAATGGCATTCTCAGAACCTTTTTCTGTGTGGTCAGGTATGTTTACATTTTTCTGTTGTCTGCAAAGCTTGTCTGAAGAAAGATGACAAAAAGTAAATAATTTTAGACAATAATTTGATGCATAACAAATATTATATTATAATTACAGCGACTCTTCTCCGGGCCAGTTTTTGCTCTTTCTCTCCGTCACATGCATACATGCATCTACATAACAAGCTGTGGCAGAATTCATACACAAGCACATTTAGATGCACATAAGCAGGGCAGCAATTTCTCATTCCGGCTTAACATATTGAACAAAGTGAGAGCAATGAAGCAAGGGAGCGGGCGAGACAAAATGTCTACAGTACAAGGAGCTTTGAATCCCTTCCAGCATTGTCCTGACTGACAGAAAGGATCCCTCTGTTCACCCGCCCCATGCACGCACACACACACACGCCCCCTCGTCTTTTGTGTGCTCTGCATGCATGTGCTTTAACTGTTACAGTACTGTACGCACATGTAGCCAGCAGCATGCAAATCAGGTTCACAGAGCGGACACACACAGTCCTGCAGACACACGGGGATATGGTGCCTACTCGTGTGATCCTCGGAGACCATTATAGCCCTTTAAAATTCAGAATAGCAGGTGGTGCTCAGATGGACTTACCTTAGTGTCATCACATCACTAAGGTCTGAATTGTAGGCCAGAGGATTTTAATTTGGTTTGGTTGCCACCTTTGAGCTTATTTTGATTTTGATTTTATTCAGATAATCATGATGCATGCGCTACACAGTCGAATATTATCATCGAGCGGCGTGTTTCAAAGCTGCAGGTGGTCTGTCCTGGTTTCTGTGCTCTGAGTCGGGGTTCTGTTTTTTTTTCTGTTCTATGGGGTTCTGTTTTTTTCTGTCCCCCCCCCCCCCAGTTCTAGGCAAACTATGGTGGGAGGAGCCAACATATTTCCATGTGACCAAGGCGTTGGAATGCACCAATCACAGGGCACTCATTACCCACTCAACAATGGTCGTACTATTTGAGCTCTTTTATGTCATTATCCCTCTGCAGCAAGTGGGCCTTGCATAACTTCGAAGCTTGTTTGGAATCATAACATGTTTGTGTAGGCGCGGGTGTGTGCATATGCAAGAGGGTCTTGGCAAATGGCTAAAATCTATAGCATGAGGCTTGGAGAATAACGAGGTGATAAGAGGGAAAGAGATAGTTGATGTCCCATAGATGTAGGAGAAACATGCAGCGGTAACAAAGGTTGTGATCATAGCTGTCCCAGCTAAAGCCTGCTCTGGATTAACACTTTACTTTGTTATAAGTTCTTTTAAAGTCACCAACTGTCCCTATATTATGCGCAGAATAGATCAAATAGTGCCTCTCGGCAATTTAATCAGTGCACTGCTGTAATTGTCAAGAGGATTATTATGGTAACAGCCCCTTTCCAAATACAAAGTACTGATTGATAGTGTTAGTGGTGCTGTCTTGCCTCACATTGTTTTTAGCTGGCTGTGACTGGTGTGGAGAGTAGACATCACATTAGTGACAGCCATTTTATTACTATATCTTTCATATTCTTAATAAAATACAGATTTTTCTTTCAGCTGGTCAGTGAAAATATAACAATAGCTTTATAGGAAGGTTTATATGAGAATAACAAAAGTTGTTTTTTGTTGTGTTTCCCTATGTAGGTCGTCTTGGTTTTCCCCACCCAGGAGGGGACAACCCTCTTCCCCTCAATGGTACGTATGGTAACCTAAACACTCAAGAGTCTGCAAAAATGACAAACTGGGCAATAACAAACTAATTAAAAAAATTAAATCATAAAATGCTGATATCTCTGATAAATTTATTTATTGCAAGCTGGCATTCATTTTTTTTTTTTTTTAAAGTGCCTTTATCGCTTAAAAACGCCCAATAAGTTAAAATGGACAAGTGGACAGTAGATCAACATGAAGAAGAGTCAGATGTTTCAGATGGTTTTTTGGAGACGTAGCAAGGCTGGCTTCATCAGCCTGAGGAAATGGCAGTAATCTCTCATTCAGACATGGGATGCTTTTCCATTAACGTCCCTCATAGCGTCCCAGCCAGTGCCATGATGGAGGGAGAGAGTGATGGCATGCCTGTATTGTATCGACTCTAGCGAAGCGTAACCGCACTTGAAGGTTTAGTTGTTTGCCGCTGTTGTTGCTAAGAGCGGTGTTTCTGTCTGTGTACTGTTCACTGCAGCAGCTGCTCCTGCCCCTTGCATGCAGGATCAGAAAGTAGGGGATCTCCCTGATAGACTGAGAGAAGCAGGAATACATATTTTATGATTGGAAACTGAGTTAGTTAGACACAAGACACATGTGCAGTTGTAATCTTGAGTGTGTAACCATTAGTGTGACTGGTTTCAGTTAAAAACTTGTTGGTAAGAGTGCCATTGTGACTCTTAGAGAAAGTAGCCACGATACTTATGCAGACACAAAGGTAGGGTGTTTAGATGCCATCAGATTCTTGGAGAAGAGTGCACATCTTAAAGGAGGGAGGTAGGCTAAATATAGCAGGTGGAGATGCAGATCTTTCTGTTCGTCTTACCTGAAGTTAAATACAAGCACATCCCCACATGCCTGCTTGAAACTAAACTAACAAGCATATATCTTTGTGCCCTTTCTCCTAGCTTGAAACTAATGTGGGGCCCTTACCTTTCTACCTGTTACTGTTGAGAATGCTTAGTCCCCAAAGCCAAGAGGTAAAGAATGGATTGAGAAATGTGGACAAGTGGAGGGAGCGAAATGGTGTGTTTTTTTTCACCACTCTTTAATAAGTGGATAGAAAGCAGCAATGAAAGGGAAACTGCTTTTGGTTTGAATAATTTGCTAAATACCAGAAATAGTTTGATAGGTAGTTACACTAAAGATGAACCTCTTTGCTGTTCTCATGCTTCTGAAGGAGGCTCTTTCATCTTATGTTTGTTTTGCTTTTAAATGCATTCCTTAATCCTGGTGTTTTTCAAAAATAAGATATGGAGCTTGAAATTAGAATTGGCTTTATACTTTATTTCTTTCCTCAGCGGGTAGGAAAAAACCAAACCATTCATGTCCACATGATATGTGGAATTTAGTGGCTTCTACTTTCCTTACACGCTACAGTTTCCTTTATTGTCCTTTTAGCTTTTTGCTTCTGGGCTTGGGGCTAGGATGTAAAACATGAAAGGCCAGCAGTTTCTTCAAAAGATTGCCGAGTCACATGGCAAGATCACATGATCAGGAGTTGTCATCAAGCCCCGAGACAGATGGTGCCAGTGGATAGGCAACAGATAGAGGATGCACACTAGCCAAACCCTCCCTTCCATCCCTCTACCCCCACCTCATAAGAACACAAAGATTGCATTCCTATCTCCTGTTCTTTCACTCTTTCATTTTCTTTGACCATTTTTTTTTCTCCTGTTCACGCACTCCTTATAGCTCTGTGTGCTTCCTTTTAGTCTGCTTTCTTGGCTCTCTTGGGCTCTATTGCTAGCCTTTGTAGCCTACCCCCCCGGTTGATGTCCATCTGGGTTGGAAAATCCACTGAAGGAGGCCAGGATTGTTGCTCATGCGCTCTTCTCCATGTTGCTCTTTTACATGGGTTGAGGCCTGGTTCTCTCGTCAGTGTGCACATTTTAACATTTGTCACTTTAGCTCAAGGCCAGTATAGTCCCCCCCTGTCCCCCCTTCCCCGCGCAATGATGTCAGCATCAGAGAAACCATTGCCCTGGGAAAAGTTTGGATAATGACACACTGGATACATTTTCTTTCTGTTAATGAGGCTAGATTGAAACTGCTGTTGTCAGGGGCAGTGCTGCTTGATCTTCAGTGATGCATTTGATGTCTTGGAGAGTTCAGATTTAGTCACTAAATTACTGAGGTCATGCTTATAGTAGAGGTCTCAATTTTATTTATTTTTTAAATAAATAAACATCTTTTACACTTATTGAGCCTAAGGCAATATTTATCTATTTGTAGCATTACATTCCTGGAAAACATTCTAGTGCAAACTAACATTTTCTTCAGCTCAATGAAGAAAAAAGGTTGTAATTGGCTTTTATTATGAAAGAGTCACACAGGAAGCGCAGTGCATTTATCAGTGAACTTTCTTAATGCCATTATTCATTGTGATGTTTTTTTTAAAATTTTATTTTGGATAACAGATGGGTTTGAAATATTGCAGGGAGTAATGAAACAAGCAAGAGCAGCCACTGTGAACCATTAGACAAAGAGCTGCAGGCAAAAGACTGTAACTTCCCAGCAAAGTAACCACTGCCATGGTGTTTGCAGGTTCATGCTGTGTGGAGCACACATGCAGGTCAAATATGACCTACAGTTTTAAAGCACATTTGCTGTTAGCTATAGGTCTTGCTAAATTAGACCTGAAATCCAGTTTAAAGTTCAGCCCTGGGATCAAGTCTTTGTCATCGTCTTTCCGTTTGCATAATTATGCAGACTTGCTTAATTTTGGTACTTTGCAGTCAAGCTAGGTGAACTGGATAATTCACACGGCTGTTTGGCTGGCATTGAACATATAATTATATCTGGCACTTAACTTCAAACAAAGCTGCAGTTGTTCCGAACCTGGTTTCTATTCATGCTTTTATTATTTTATTTTTCCTCCTTCCTCCTCTTTCATTTTCTCCCCCTCTTTTAATTGAAGGCTTCATTTGATTTTTGATAGATGTTCCTGATGTGCTTCACTTTCAAGTTTCAATTTTTCTGCCATTTCTGTCAATATTCCTATTCAGAGCATCCATACATGTAGCGTAACACTTCCTGTTATCCTTCAGTTTCTTTGTTAAAGGTTATCCCAGGGCTTGTATTGAATTACAGAAATGTTTTGCTGTTGAACTGAGATGTCCTTTTTTTAGCTGTGCGCCTTTAGATTGTCTCCTTTATTCCCTTCTCATAATGAGTCAGCATTTTATTTTGAAAGTGCTATATTAATAGCGAGGTGACCTTTACAGCGTGTCTATATAAAGTGTCCTTTATAAAAAATATAGCAAGTTTAAAATAATTGTCTGCAACCTTTCAAAATGCACAGTTCCACAATTAAAAAACACAAAACAAAAACCTGCTTGATAGTCGGTGTGCTGATAAAACCACAAGGTGTTTATGATTCATCGGTGATTAATAAAATCAAGGGCCCGCAGGCTGAAAGTGGATCGTCTCTCCATTGTCGTGCACCACCTGGCACTTTTATTGGTATTATGTGTATTATGGGACTTTTATGAACATCCTCTTCTTTGATTTGTCCTTATTCCACATGCAGCCAGGAATTATAGCAGGAGACGAGGTAAAAAGCAATCACAAATACATCATGTCTCGTTTTCAGCATATTTTCCCGCCCTATAAGCCTCAGTGTTTTAACTAATCTTGTAATGTTAAGCAGTGTTATGATTTTATTGACTGTGGTCTGCTTGTTTGTTGTTACATTAACGGGCACGTGCATTTAGTTTTGGAATGGCCCTGTGCTTTTTTAAACTTGTTTTGTTTTTATACGTGCAGTGATGTGACGAGTTTGTCTGCATGATTGTCTTTAGCGTCGAGCCTTGTTACTCGTCGTCAAGTGATCTTGTGCATCTTTTATCCTCAGGTTTTTGTTTCTCTCATTATGCTTCACTCTGCTCGCTTTTCTCCATCTTTGCTTGCATATTGCAAGATTAACTCAGACAATACAAGACGGTGTCACACTTAGCTACAAGTTAATGAGGCAGGGAGACGCGCAAAGTGTAATTCCTGATCTACACTCATTGCAAGAGGAGCCCGACACATGGCGAGGCACACACACTGTCAGTTAAGGCTAACGCCCTTGCATAAATCTTCATAAATCTTCATAAAGCAGCTCAGGGCAGGTTGTATGGGAGCAGGGATAGAGCAGGGAGAGCTTAACCTTTACCACACACAGTGCACTCTGAAAGTGTTTATACTTTCTCACTGATAGGACTAATGTGTGCGCGATAACCTTTATGTTCACAGGCAGCACAGTTCCATGTGTGATTCATGGAAGCTAATTAGGAATAAAGAACAACACATCAAGGACATTTAATTCGGTCGGACTGTGATGTGGTCCTTTCAGGCTCTAATATCTCCATTCTGCGTGCACATGTTTAACTGATTATCTCCCAATTTGAATCAAATAGTTATATTTTAGTAAGTAAGATAAAAAGGTTAATGGTTTGTTTACTGTTGTTAGATCAAGAAAATTTAAGTAGTAGGAATTGAGGTCAGATAGACAAAGGGATGAAATTAAAGTGCTCATTTACGGCCATCTTTATTGTAGTGCTATTACCATAATTTACTGTTTTCTTTAAAAAAACAAAACAAATGTCTAGTTTTCTCTTCAAAAGATAAATCTTTTCCACCTTCTTCTTCTTTCTCAGGCCACTCTTCTCTCTTCCCCATAGAGGATGGTTTCCCTGATGATGAACGTGGAGACCAGGGTCTCGCAGGCCTAGGTTCCCCACACTGCTTTCCACACCAGAACGGAGAGCGCGTGGAACGCTACTCGCGCAAGGTCTTTGTTGGAGGACTGCCCCCAGATATAGATGAAGGTGCAGTAGTAACATAATTAATATCAAGAGGATTGAATTCCTAGGTTACTTTTAGCCTTTTATGTAATTAAACTTAGAACATGGGAACTTGAGGGAAAATGTAAAAGGTTAAAAATAAATAAATAAATAAAGCAATCATGCCTGAAACACACAGGGCTTCTTACAGTACACCCCCCTGTAATTTACTGTGAAATCTGAGCAGGGCCTCTGCTCTAAATCTCCCCTGGTGTTTTCTTTGAAAAAGCTATGGGCTGACGATGAGGATGCATTATTATGATTTTTTCATTTCAGATGAGATAACAGCCAGTTTCAGACGCTTTGGACACCTGTTTGTGGACTGGCCTCACAAAGCTGAGAGCAAATCCTATTTTCCTCCCAAAGGTATCTTAAATTCCTTAAATTCACAGCTTGTTCACACTATGCTGTTTTTTTTGTTTGTTTGTTTTTTTTGGCAACTGACTTCAGTATTCCTGGGTAAAGCAGTGTGTGATAATCTGCTACAATCGATATCTATACATCTGAGCAATCTGGTTTTGTCTTCAGGCTGTTATCTGAAGCATTTGTCATCTCTGCTCAGATTGTTTGTATGTTTGTAAAAGCTTATGCCTTCCTGCTGTGCAAGCAGAGTGTCGTGATCAGACATGCTTTCACAGTAATCAGCAAACTAAATTCCAGCACAATCCTCTGTCAGTACTCTGCGGCCCCAGCAGCGAGAATAACCCTCTTGTGTTCTGTGCAGGCTATGCCTTCCTGCTGTTCCAGGACGAGAGCTCAGTGCAGGCTTTGATCGATGCCTGCATCGAGGAGGATGGCAAGCTGTACCTCTGCGTGTCCAGCCCCACCATCAAAGACAAGCCGGTCAGTGGGAACACACACACACACACCAATTTGCTTAAATCTATTGGTGTTCCCACTGAGCTCAGTAAAACTTAGTAGACTAGAGCTAAAAAAACCCCCAAAACCCACTTGTTGGTTTTGTGTGTGACAGGTCCAGATCCGCCCATGGAACCTGAATGACAGCGACTTTGTGATGGATGGATCTCAACCTCTTGACCCAAGGAAAACCATCTTTGTGGGAGGAGTTCCTCGCCCGCTCCGTGCAGGTATCCTTCATTTTTATGCTGGTATTTTTCCGCCAGCTGAATTAACAACAAATGAGTGTTTATAATAGAAACATCTGAGGAATATTCTGTGCATATGCTTTGTATCTCAAGTGTTTTTTGTCAAAAGCCTTTTAAAGGTTCTTATTTCCCTTCCCTTTGATTCAGTAGTCTAAATATTTTTATAGCATCAACGACCAAATGAGAACAATAAGTAGCAGTCTTCTCTTACTTCCTTTTCTTTCCCAACTGTTGAAATATCAGCCGTAAGCAAAATGCTTCCTTCTGTGAGACACAATGTGATCAGCTTGTGCTTATAAAATTAGACCCGCTACAGAGTGAAGCTAAAGAGACACCGACCTACACTGGTTATTTCAGGAAGTAGTCTCTATGACACACTGTGCAGTGTTTAAAAAAATAAATAATTATTTTCCCTTGATAACAATGTCACGTGTACTGTGTGTTCAAGTTTATGCCGCCTTTGTGTAACTGTGTCTTAAACCTCTGTGCTGCCGTTTTAGAAAGGAACAAAGACATTAGGTCCAGCAGTGCATTAAATATTTTATGACCGTGTGTAATAACTGGGTTTAGATTTGCATTTTAAGAAAATCCACATATTAAAAAGGACCGTTCAGACTTTTTAATGTCGTAATAAGTAAAGCTGAAATGTAAACTTGCAGGGATTTTGTTTCCACAAACTGCATGCTTGTTAAAAAAAACAGAAAAACAGTCATAAGGACGGTCAGTAAATTCAGGGCACTACTTTCATATTTACCCCGTGAAACTCTGAAGGACTTTAATCCGTCCACGTTAATGGTTTAAACTCTCAGATGAACAGTTCTCATCAAGTATGTGTTTGTGTTTTCTGGTTACACTGGCATGAGTTTATGTAAACCTCTGTATCCACACAGGTAATTGCTGGATTTCTGTGTCCTGCAATCTTTGTGTCGGTGTGCCGTCTCCATCTGTGCATCAAACTTGTTTTTGTGAATGTTTTGTTGATCTACTTGTGTGCGTCTTCCTCACCCTCCCTTTTTGCAGTGGAGTTGGCCATGATAATGGACCGCCTGTACGGTGGAGTTTGCTACGCTGGCATCGACACAGACCCCGAGCTGAAGTACCCCAAGGGAGCGGGGCGGGTCGCCTTCTCTAATCAGCAGAGCTACATTGCTGCTATCAGTGCTCGCTTTGTACAGCTGCAGCATGGAGAAATCGATAAACGGGTGAGTGGAAAGAGGAAAAAAAAAAAGCTCAGTGTTTTTCTGTCTTCCCTCTCGGCCCCCTCCTTTCTTCAGCTTGCTTTCTGCTCTTACTTGTGGTGTTTCTTTCAGTTGCGCAAAGGTGATGCAAAGTTTTAACAGTTTTAACAGTTTTTCCTGGAGTAATATAGTCATACTATACTGCATTTTATACAGAAATCATCTAGAATATGAACAGAAGAGTATAAATGACTGCTGTTAAATTTAGCTTCAGATTTTACATCCGTTTTAACCTTTATCCAGGCAGAGTAGTTATAATAGGCGTGCTGTGTTTGTGATGTAACTGGAGCAGAGAGTGATTTGTGTAACAGAATAATGTAGGTTCACCAGAAATGATTGGATGTTTTTAGCTGAAATATATCTTGGTGTGGTTGAACTGGGCTTAAGATTTTCATGTCTTCGCAAGCTGTAAAACTGCTCTAATGACGACTTTTCTGTTGAAGCAATAATTGAGATTTTTACTTGTAGAACTGCCTGAAATTCAGACTTTGTAACTGAGTGAATTGTTTTTTTGGTCAGCAATTAAAAGAGCTATTTTGACCAGTTTCAGTAGTAAGAGTACAAATTTGTTAACAACTGCTTTTTTTTACATTCATATGTGTCAGTGAACCAGCATGCATAATACCAAAAACCCTGAAAGTGAAGCATCTAAATGGAATTTAGCCTTCATTGAGTTCATTTATCAGTGCTATTCCTACTGTGACCTGAAAACTATTCTCTATAAAAAGGCTATGAACTCCAGAGCCTCGCTCTTTCAGTATAAGGAACCCTACAGATGGTGCACAGTCTATTATTTATTACATTTTTTTATTAGCCTTAATTCACAAGAATACTGTCAGTAACTTAGCCAGCGCTGTCAGCAGCAGAAGAATTACAGTAATCTCTACAAGCCTGTATATGACACAAATTCTACTGACAATAGGTGAGTTAAGATAACGTGAGACTCAGCAGATGTATGTAAAGTATAGGTAACATTATAAGATAAGATACTGGAGTAATGGTATGCTCTTTTAAGATTTGCATAATTGTGATGTTGTGCAAATTTTGTGTAATGACTGCCTTGGTAACGTTCACCTCCCAATACTACAGTCATTCATCAGTGAGCAGGAAAGATAAAGAAGTAAGAGGTGTTCCAAAAGGTCATAAACAGGACGTTTAAAATGCAGAAAATTTTTAGTATTTTTAGTAACAGTGAAGTCAGCAGTGCGATATTAACAATTTTAAACATTCTTTTGAATACTGATCAGGAATAGGAGATTATTATCATTATTATTATTATTATTATTATTATTAGTAGTAGTATTAGTATTATTATTAAGATATGAGTTCTCTATTTTCTTGGTCACATTATTTTCTAAGTGTGACCTGCAATGCAGATTTTTTGATAATTCCGATTTTATTTCTAAGAGCTGTAACTGACAGCATACACAGAAGAATTTCAGCTTTTTATTCATTCTGCTTTTTATAAACAAAAACAACCGCAACACATTTATGCAACAAAAGAAATGTCAAGTGCTCAGATCATTTTCCAACATGTTTATAAATTCACCAGACAACAGGACATCAACAATTTTCATTTTTTTCTTTCCATCTGACTTCACAATTTTCCTCATAAGTGCTTACATCCTTTGCTCATACTGAGGCTGTTAGCTTGGATAGCTTTAGCATTTACCACTTTGGCTTTGTTAGCTTCATTCATCTGGGTGAGGATGATTTAAGCCTCTGATTAATTTTGTTGTTAAAAATGTTTGTGTGGTCATTCCCGTTCTCATGGGCTACTTTGGCTAAATTTGTGTATTTACTCACAGTGAAGAGCTTTCATGCTAACGACATGTTTGCATGTGACACGGAGTAAACCTGCAACTATTTGCATGTGCCACTGTGTGCATGTTGCACATGCATGGACTGGGCCTGCTCGTTGCTAGTCAGGGCCACAAACAGTAAAAATGGTCCAGTTCCTGTCACTAGATGGTCAATCACTGCATCTTTAGTTTAATTTGTGTATGTTGAAGCATAGACTGAATAAAGAAAGCACACTGTGTGGGGTGCTAAGTTAACAGCAAATCCTGGCTAGCTTGGTTAGGAGGAGGAAAGCTCATACAAACACCTGCTTCCTTATTCACAAGGGATCGCGATGCCCTTCCTGAGACAAGCCCACAGGGATTTGTGTCTCCTCCCAGTCTCGAACTCTGGATTTCTTTTTTTGTCTGTCAGGCCACCACAGTATGGAGCCACTCACACACACACATCTACTAATCACTGGTAAATAACGGATTGAGAAGATACTACAGTCTTCCTCACCAAAAGTGAAGCTTCGGCAAGTCATATTATTTGTCAGCGAAATCAAGATAATGTTTTTCCAATAAAAATGGTAGAAAAGGCAAACAGCCCAATCGTAGCAGATTGTTAATCAGCTGTAATGAAATTAAACTGTGCATTGTGGTCAAAATTGAGGTCTGTGGCGTCTGCAGTGAATGAAAGTTCAATTTTGAGCCCAGGCTGATTCTGTGACACTTGAGATTGCTCGTCATAAAAACAAATGTGGTTAAGAAATGCTGAACAAGTGCAAAAAAAAGACCTTTTTTTTCCTTTGTGGAAATATTTTTAATGACCAATTGCTAAAAAGGATTACAGCAGTAAGGCACCTGTGATTTTTTTTATTAACATTAACTTAAAACAACGTGATGCAACAGTAGGAAAGGGAAAAGTAAACGGTGAGACTCTCATCAGAAAGATGGAATTACAAAGTAACAGTAAGCTGGCTTATAGACATACACTCTCCGCTGTGCATCACTCATGTGCGTGGAATAGCAGACCCCTCAAATAACAATGAAGGCTGTTACATAGAGGTGTAAATGCAGTGAATTATTGATTGGATTAATTCACGATATTAAAAACAATATTTTCTTTCCTGCTTACTGTAATGATTCCAACTCTAAATAATAAAAGCAGCACCTGTTGTGGCTCACGTTGCACCTTGCTCGTAGCATGTATGGATTTATTTATTTATTTCTACCTCTTTTGCAGGTGGAAGTGAAGCCATATGTGCTGGATGACCAGCTGTGCGATGAGTGCCAGGGAACTCGCTGCGGTGGGAAGTTTGCGCCATTCTTCTGCGCCAACGTCACCTGCCTACAATATTACTGCGAGTACTGCTGGGCGGCCATCCATTCGCGCGCCGGCCGCGAGTTTCACAAACCCCTGGTGAAAGAGGGAGGCGACCGACCCCGTCACATCTCCTTCCGCTGGAACTGAGCGGAAATTAGAGAGGGAGAGGCAACAGAGGAGCAGGAGGGCAGGTAGTGCAGGAGTCGCAAAATCATTGTACAAATAAATGCACTTTTCTGTTGCTGGTTCCTTTTTGCTCCACTTTCACCCGACATTTTTTGCAATTTCTTTTGTTAAATTAATATTTAAAGACGGAAAAGAAAGATTGGATTTATATCCAGATATGTCAAGGAAGCAAAAAAAAAGATGTGTAATATGATTTTATTTATGTTTGATTTTTTAAATATTTTTATTCGTTCTAAAAAAAAACGTATATAGAAAAGTTTGAGGTGTGATATGGTACTCTGCTATTTTAATTGGGATATTTTTCTAAACAGTGTATTTAATTTTAATTTTGATACAAGAGGCCCCGAAACAAATACTTGTCATTTGACATTCAGCTGACTTGTTTTGTAGCAGAGCTCTTACATTTTATTTTGTATTGAGTCTCCAGAGCAAATGCTGTTTGAACAGAATATGATTGGCTATTTATTTCTGAGAGGTAGGATTAAAGTGCCCCTATTTTGCATATTTGCATATGTTTAAAGTCTCACTGTTTCATGTGAGGGAGGCGGGTGTTCACTCAAATTGATTTTGTGAAGTCCAAAAACAAGATTTGGGTCATACTGTTCACTGCTGCGGTGCCTGTCTTTAACCCTCTGTGTGAAACTCTCCGTTTTGCCTCCTGTCTCTTTAAGGGGCCCCCCCCCCCAGTGACATAGATAAGTCACAAAACAAAAACCTTTGACAGTTTCAAACAGTACAGCAGTATTTTTTTGGGAGAGAATAGCAACATTTAGCATGGCCTTTGTCACTTTGACATATATATATATATATATATATATATACACACACACACACACACCAGACTAAAGGATTTGGAAGAACCCAAAAGGCATAATAGGGGCACTTTAAGTTTGCTATTGATAGCTGAGGCTCCAGAGCAAATGTGAATTAAAAAGGGTGTTGCTAAAGAAGAGTGCACTTATTTCCAGTTTAAGTACTGAAGATACACAGTACGTAAGACCCTTAGTAGTTACCAAAGCTGAATCTTAATTAACTCTGACGAGCAGAAAGAGCCCACTGCAGAACGAAATGGATTCGTTTTCCCCTCCCACATCAAAAACGTTCAAACCTCTCGTTATGATTTCCAGGACCATACAAACATTTTGATGTTACTTGAAAATCTAAACAAAATTTTAGCAACACTGATTAGGGTTTCGATCTCCATTTTGACATGCAAAAACTAATACCTCAAACTCCGCTGCTAATGTGCCGAATACAGAGAGAGTGAGAGAGAAAAAAGAAACCAAGAAAGAAAACATCATCGCTCTCTGGTGTTCTCCTTTCCTCAGAACTATAATCAGAGGGAAGGGATACAACAGGCAGAGAGTGATGTAACTGGCACAGTTTTCTACTCAACTTGCTTCATCACCTCCTTATTTTTGTAATCAAACCCAGGGTTGTGCTAGTGACAGAGCATCGTAAAGTATACAGTGTATTATTGGAATGTATGGTAAAGGGAGGCTACAGGAGAGACAGGCTTAGTGGTGAAGAGAGAAATTCAGCCCCAGATCCCTTCCTCGTGTCTGCCTGCGGCCTCTGCTGCTAAGCTTACAGCTAACAAACAGAAGGCCTCATTCGTGGATCACAACCTGCTCGAGGCTTGAATCCACGTCCTTCAGGACCGAGGTTAAGGCAACGTGTCACTGAAGGACAGTATTGCAGTTTTTAATGGGGCTACCACCAAACAGGAAATACCTGTCTGTGTTAGTTTTGTTTTAATGCATTTGTGCAATTCTCCCAAGTCTTTAATGGAAAAAAAAAAAAAGTTTTACTTTGCATCCAAGAGTTAGTTACATTTAATGAAAGAAGCAATTAAAAGTTTATCTGACTTTGGAATCGTCATCACATGTAGGGATCTGCCCTCGAAGCCAGGTCCCTGCCAAGCTAATCCAACTCAGCATCCAGTGTTTTTGAAGCATAAATGAAGATAGTCTCTGAAGTGTGCTCTACTACTGCACACTTGTGACCCACATGCAGTTTGCTCTCCATAACGAGATTGCAGGTCCAGTCGACTGTAGCCAGCGGCTTTTGGGAACCAAAGATGGCTGTGCAGTAGTGGGTCATACTGTAGCTTATTACTTGTGTGGAAGTTTTGGTTTTTCTTTTTCATTTTCTTCAAGGACGTTTTGCATATATATATATATTTTTTGTTTTCCTAAATCTGTGATTTCTACCCAGTTTTGCTTAACTGTCAAGCCCTGATAGACTCCAGCGAACCAAAGATTGGCCTTGAACATCGTCTTTACAGAATGCATTATGCATATGAACGATAGTGCCGTGAAAACCATCAGAACATCAGTATGGGGGGGGGGGCGACATACAAACAAGGCCTCACACTCCCTCCGTAGCTCAAAATGGAGGCGTGTGCTGTCAGTTAGGCGCTAGTTATTTTTATCTGAAATGGATCTGTGCGTTTGGGAGAAGTAACACAAAAAGTACACCTTCCCACGGCGAAAGTAAAACTAATCCTTAACTTTGTTCGAGTCACTCAGTGGTAACCTTATTAGCCGAGCATTTAAATGTCAGGGAGTTAGTACAGAAACTTGATTATTACACACACACTAGTGAGAATCCTCATATCGGCGCGGTGTTGTCGGCACCAGTTTTGCACCCTGGACATTAGTTTTGTGGGTGTGGTGGGTGAGCATTTTAGAAGTTAAAACACTTTGTGAAGAATTTGCTGTTAAATGAGATGAAAAAAAAAAAGATTATTTTATACATGGCCTGCTGATTTTTGGTACAGTGTTTTCTAGCTAAATTATTTTGTCATGCACATATAAACATTTATTATGCACTACTTTTCTAAATATTTTTTTTTCTTTTTCCAACAGTCATTTTAGGCACATTTTTCACAAATGGGGAAACTCCTTTTTGCAATACCTCAATTTTTCACATTGTGAAAGGTAGCTTTTGTACTTTTGTTACTGAAAGATCTGCATATATGGAAATGTTCATTTTAGGAAAAACAAAAAAAGTTGAGTGATTTCAATATATATTATTTTCAATTATGCTTTTTATACATTTCAGTGCTGAGGAATCTTTACAACTAAGTGCGCACTTGTGTTGATGCGACTTCAGATGTGCAGAGGAGAGACCAAAGAGTATCGCTCTCTTGGTCTTAGCTTTTCTTACACTAGATGTTTTCCAGTCGATCTGGTCAATAAGAGCATGGCGAGAAAAAGAAAGGAAGAAAGAAATATAATTTGGGATTGATGTTAATGTGTCTAAAAATGGCTATACTAGTTGGAAATGGTAACTTCTGTCTTGGTTTCCTCTCCATAGATGGAGCATAACTTATTATATAAGGAGAATGCAAAATTTGGTTCACGCTTAACGCTGAATCTCGTATCACAAGAATGGATGTTTGGTGTTTAGATATTTTAATATTTGAAAAAAAAAAGTATATATATATATTCTTGAACTTGCCAACTAGCACCTATTGTAATCCTTAGCATGCATGACGAAAAAAAAAAAGAAAAAGAAAATGACAAGTACAATGAATTAGCTATTACAATTAATTGTTGTGGTGTGCACCAAATGTTTCTCAACTATTCAGTTAAGGACACCCCGAACCCGCTCTCACCTCACCCCTCTTCCCCTCTTCCCATGTTCCCGCCCCACGTGTCGATTTCCTCGCTTCCCCATTCGCAGACCTCTGCAGGATGCACGTGACAGAGAGATAAAAGAAACCTACCTTTGAATTGATTTGGCAGTGCAGGACTTTGAGCATCCTTTATATAGAGAACACTGTTTAAAAAGACTTGAGAACCTGTCCCCGCTGTCTGTCGAGGTGATCTTACATAGACCTATCTGGAGGAAAGGGGAGCTTAAAGACTTGAATGTGGTAAATGTTGCAAGTTAACTTCAAGTTGTTATGTGCAATACTTCTTTTGAACCTTTTTCCAGATAAAGACTCTTTGCAATGTAATTCTTTAATGCCATTTTTAATTGCAGACATTTAATTAAAGAAGATGTTAATATGTTTTTCACAGTCATTTTCTACTGTTATTGTAATCCTTTTCATGCTGGTGTTTGTAAAAAAGAAAAGAAATCAAACTATTTGTACTAATATAAATAATTGAAGTTATTTTTAAAACATTAAAGGTTTTGTGCTCATTTGCTTATTTTGTTTATTTTAAGCTACTGTGATTGATTGCATTGTAATTATTAGGTCAACAATGTATTTAGCTGTTTATTGGTATATTTTTAATTGGAATGTATAATTGATTTTTATAATTTTGATCAGATTTTTGTTATATTTTTGAGGTGAAGCTTTTAATATGTTAAAGTGTCTAGTTTTTACTAATTGCTATATTGTGCTCCACAATATATGGTTCACATTTTCTGAAGGAAAATAAATATTTAAATATTTGTCTGTTAATGATGTTACTTAATGGCAAGATTTCAATAGTTTTTAACTGTGTATGGGAAGGTTGTTGTATTTATTAATAGCATTTTTTTACTTAAGATATCACCTTAATTTTTATTGTCATTTCACTTTATAAGTTCCTATTTTTGTATTTTCCTTTCTAATTAAGTTATGTAATACGGATATGTCCATATTTCTAGGAGTTGGTCTGTAGAAGTGCTAGTGAAACGAAAAAGAAAAATCTAATGTTATTTAATTGTTTGCAGCCAACTATTTATAACAGTATGCATAATTTTTAAATATTTGTAATGTGAAATGTTGAATGAAATAAATCTTAACTGTGATGAAAGCCTGTGTGTGATGTGATTATTTATGACTGTTGTGTTGTCACAGCTTTAAACCTTCAGCTCCTTAATCAGTGTTCAAATCTGGGTGAACGTTGAATAATTTAAGAGGAGTGTCGATGCCTTCTCTGGCTAAAGGCATCCGCTGTCCGCCTGATCTTCTACAATTCACAGGAATTCCCACTCCTAGAGAAAACTGCACACGACAGTCATCTGATGGCTCGAGGTCGTATTTGTTGTTTTATGGGATTTTTCTCGATGACAAGAAAACTTTGACTTTCCTTCAGTTTTTCACGCATTCAACAACTGAGAAGAAGAATGAGCTGAATGAGAGAATATTGTTTTCCTTCTTATTTTTCAAAGATAACCGGAGAAATTCAACATGCAGGATTTTATTTGTTAAGGGAACAAAGTTGTCTAAACCTACCTGGCTCTGTGTGATAAAGTAATAGATGGTTGTGCCTTGGCAACATGAACTGCAATCATGGCTTTCAGTAACTGGTAATTAGTCTTTCACATCTCTGTGGAGGAATTTTGGTCCACTCTTTTTTGCAGTGTTGTTTTTTTTTTTTTTTTTTTTTTTTTAAATTCAGCCACATTGGAGGGTTTTCTGGCATAAATGGTTTTCACACCAGATGTAACTGGTGTAAAAGTTATACTTTTGTCCCATCAGTCCAAGGAATTCTTTCTCCAGAGTCTTGAGGATCATGAAGACGTTTTTGGGTTTTTTTTATATATATTTATTTATACGAGACGAGCCTTTGTGCTCTTTTTGGTCAGCAGTGATTTATTTCAAACTCTCCCATGGAGGCCATTTTTGCCCAGTCTCTTTCTTATTGTGGAATCATGAACTCCGACCTTAACTGAGGAAAGTAAGGGCTGCAGTGCTTTAGATGTTGTACTGGCTCCTTAGTGATGTCCTGGATGAGCCACTAGTGGTGGTAGGTCGGCCACTCCTGGGAAGGTTCACCACAGTTCCAGGTTTTGTCCATTTGTGGGTAATGGCTTATTCGTCATCTGCTCTTATGTTTCTTTAGTTTGTAGGATGATGCAGGAAGGTTTGTATAATTTTGTTCCCTTAATGAATGAAATCATCATTTTTCTTCCATGATCTTTGTCTAATATTCAACATTTGTTTGATTATCTTAAACAAAAAAAAGAAATCAGGAATTTTGTTCACACCTCTCCGTGTCTGGTATGACCTTTCGACATTTCTGCACTTTTCAACCTTTTAGTTCATGTTTGAGTATAAAAGGAGCCTGTCTACACTTTTTCTTTGTGAGTTCATTAATACCTATCTAATAACCCAGGCACGACTGGTTCTTTTGTTTTCTGAACATGTGTGACAGCTCGGTAACACCACCAGCTGGCTGCATCTTACTGCACAATTAATTTTAAATGAAACGATGCAGCTGAAATGCAGACTTTCAGCTTTAATTCAGCGAGTTGAACAAAAAGATTGCATAAAAATGTGAGGAACGAAGACCTTTTTAACACAATCCCTTCATTTCAGGGGCTCGGCGTAATTGGACAAATTAAATAACTAAAAATAAAATGTTCATCTCTAATACTTTGTTGAAAGCCCTTTGCTGGCAATGACAGCCTGAAGTCTTGAACATGGATATCACCATGATGCTGGGTTTCCTCCTTTTTAACGCTCTGCTAGGCCTTTACTGCAGCGGCTTTCAGTTGCTGTTTGTTTGTGGGCGTTGCTGTCCAAAGTTTAGTCTTCAATAAATGAAATGCATACCCAACTGGGTTACAGTCAGGTGACTGAGTTGGCCAGTCAAGAATATTCAATTTCGTTGCATTAATAAACTCCTGGGTTGCTTTGCTGTATGTGTTGGGTCATTGTCCATCTGTATTATGAAACACTGCTCAATCAATTTGACTACATAAGCTGGATCTGAAAAGAGTGTATGTCTCTGTCTCATTTGGCTTCTGTCCTGTGTCACATCATCAACAAACAGTAGTGTCCCAGTGCCGCTGGCAGCCATGCACACCCAAGCCATCGCACTGCCCCTGCCGTGCTTCACAGATGATGTGGTATTATTTGGATCATGAGCTGTTCCACAGCTTCTCCATACTTTTTTCTTGCCATCATTCTGGTAGAGGTTGATTTTGGTTTCATCTGTCGAAATAATTTTTTTCCAGAACTGTGCTGGGGTTTGGTTTTTGTTTTTTTTTTTTAGACGTTTTTATTTATTTATTTATTTTTTGAGCAAAGTCCAATCTAGCCTTTTTATTCTTGAGGCTTATGAGTGGCTTGCACTTTGCAGTGAACTCTGTATTTACTTTCATGCAGTCTTCTTGGATATTGATACGCATACCTCCTGGAGAGTGTTGTTCACTTGGTTGATGTTGTCAGGTGGTTTCCCTTCACTGTGGAAATGATACTGCAATCATCCACAATTGTTGTCTTCCATGGACGTCCATTTTTTTTGCGTTGCTGAGTTCACCAGTGCTTTCTTTCCTTGGATGTACCAAACAGTAGATTTTGCCACTCCTGTTATTGTAGCAGATGTTTTTTTTCCTCTGTTTTCATAGCTTAAGGATAGCTTTGTTCACCTTCATGGAAAACTCCTTTGACCACATGTTGTCTTTTCACAGCAAAATATTCTAAATGCAAGCACCACACCTCAAATCAACCCCAGGCCTTTTGTCTGCATAACTGATAATCACTTTGAGTTAATTGTCCAATTACTTTTGGTTCCCTTTCTCCAATTTGAATGTGAATACCCTTAAATGAAAGCTGAGAGACTACACATTCTGTCCATTATATAACTATAAATGGAAAGTGTTTGGATAAGCAGGTAAAAAAACAAAACTTGTGTCAATGTCCAAATATATATGGACCTAGCTGTAGTTGTTAGTGTGATACAGCCTACCTTTTCAGGTGAGGGGAGGGTAGAACATGTTGTTATCAGGAAGACAAGTTTAGAATAACATAAGGCAAGGCAAGGCA